CATGTGTTGACTTAAGAACTTAATCTAAAAGTATAATCTAAATAGAAAATTGCTTAATGGTTAATTGAATCAGAGGATATCGAAGGGTTGAAGGTAATTTTGAGAAAAAATTGATAAGAGATTGTATGAATAATAATAATTTTATTTTGGTATGTGTTTATTTCTTAACAGGATTCCATAATAATAATAATAATTAAAAAGTTTGGATTTTAATAACTATTTTAACTTATAAATCTTTCTACCTCTTGATAATTTAATTTAGAAGCAATAAATTATAAAATAAAGTATTTGATTGTAATTTTATTTAACAATCTAAAAATACCTAATTAGTTATCAATAAAATAGTGATTTGAAATTAATTATATACTTAAAACATAAAAAATGCTTTTAAAAGTATAACACAAAAAACCTATTGAATCCAATTGAAGCAGAAGAATTATAAAATGAATTTGGATAAATAATGTATCCTTTTCTTAATCTATTAGTATGTTTAAAAGAATAATTCGATGTTAAAAGTTAGATTGATACTTTATTATCTTAATAATAATTAGCAATATTTTTAATAATTTCATAGTTTTAATAGGCATAACTCATCCTATCCTACCATAATATATTTAACCTAATACAATTTTTTCGCTAATCCAGAAGTATTACATAAATGCCCATATATGAGTAAATTGAGAGCATATATTTATTAATAGGTATATAATACTATTTTAATAAATTCTTATTCTCCAATACTTTTAGGTATTGAGGATGATAATTAAGCGATGAAAATAAAATAAACTAAATTTAAGAGTAGAAAAAGAAGTTCTGGTCGTTTAACATCGATAATGAAATTTTACTTATTAATCTATCGTTTTGATATAATCTGTAATATTATTTTTAAATTCATTCACTATATGTATTTCTATTTTCTTTTAATATATATGGAACTATGTCTTCTCATTTTTGCTATTTTTAACAACATTACTATTCAATTTATTTTTTAAATCATTAATTATAATGTAGTATTATCCATTTTATTATTGTTAATTATATTATCCTTTTTTATGAACTTTACAATATTTTATCTAATTTGCTCTGCAAAAATATTAATATTAATTCTTATACTAATTGGAAATGAATAATTTCATTTTAATACATTTGTTTTTATTTCATTTTGAATAATTCATAATCATGATCGTATTTGTAAAAGCATTAATATTTCATAACATCAATGTAATAGAAATTGATATCATTAAAAAAAATAATAGTACTTTGTAAAATAAGACAAAGAAGAAATTTAAAATCTGATTTTTACTAACTAAACCATAAATTTGGATACTGTTTTAGATTTATGAACATATGCTAGTTTTATGTATTTATGGAGATGCTATAGAAATTATTAGTTAGATTGAAACTAGAATTTAT